TTAGCCCCGGATTGCCCCACCTGGCCCCGTCTGTGGCCCCACCACAGGTGTGCCCATGTGTTTACAGGGTGGTTATTCGGGCCCGAATAATCAATTATGCTCTCATCAGTATGATAGTCACTATCTTACATTAACCGTGCTTAAAGGTTGGAGAACTTTGCTGTTATGACGAATTTTCTACAGCTACTCGCTGTCACATCCCTGTGAATCTGCTTAAAGAAATTGGCTGACAGCTAACCCAGTTAACTTGTGACTAGGTTAATAAACCCATTTCGTATGACTAACCGATCTGAATTTAATAATCTTGTGATTTCTGGAAGTGAGCTAGAACTATTCGGAGGAAAGTAAGCACCGGTAACCAAGGCTATTTGGAAAAACGCGTTTTAGCTGCGCGTGGGTCAATTTTTTGATGGTAAATAATTTCGGCTACCAACTGGTCATCTATCTATGACAAAATGTAAGGTTTTTGTGACAAAACTGAAGAGCAGCCTGCGATAAAAGAATAAAAAGAAAAACAGCCATTCACCAGAGGTGGTTTATGGGATGTCTCAGGTTTCGATTTTGTCCAAGCCTACCGATTTTTGAAATAATCACTGGGAATAGCATTTTCACTACTATCCCCATGGCATTGCTCTTTCCCGTAATGAAGATGAATTTACGAACCATGTTCTATTGTGAGCAGCATATTTTGGATGTAATTCTCAGGAACTATTTGTGTAGTTCATTTTGTAGAATATGTGTTCACTTGCCGGATGGGCAGCTATTTAGTGTCTAAATTAACAGACTTGCTGAGCTGCGGTCGTTGTTGCGTTGCTAAGTCTGGGAAAATAACCCAATCATGAACTTTTCAGTATGGTGCTAGCATTTCTTTACCACCGATGTGACAATATGTTCTTGGAGTGAATGCCTACTGGATCCTTCGAATCGTTCACAAACAGCCAAAATGCTTGTAACAGGTCGTTTTTGCCAGTTTCGTAATAAAGCGATAAGCCTTCGATAAAATACACCGAAACTATTAAGACCCTCTTGCTTACTCGAGAAAATGCATTAGAACCGACGATTCAAGAAGTGCGCTTCAAAGAGTTACAAAATTTAAACTCCTTTTTATTGGACCAGGTTTGCCTATAAACTTACAGTTATGGGTAATTTAGCTTCATAAGCAGCGAGGAGTCAACTGTTCTTGAAAATTGGCGCTTTCATTACGGATTTTTTTGGAATCTCAATATGATATTTTTTCTTTTACTTTTGAAACTGAATTTTCGCATCGAAGCGGATGTTAATATTTCGAACTGGTCGTGTCTATTACTTTAGTAGCTAACAGCATTATACACTGGTAGTTGTAGGAAAAGCAATGCGTGTAGCGGCGGTTTTTTGTAATATACATTCCCATGACAACATTATCGCTGAATAAAATGCTGTTTTTAAAAAAATTCATTTCTTCTTATACAATGAAATACCTTATCATCCTGGTTTAAATTTATTGTATATGAAGAAATGCTTTTTTTTCGAAACAGCATTATATTCAGTGATAATGTTGTCATGAGAATGTATATTACAAAAAAATACGCGCAACACGCATTGCTTTTCCCACTAAGCCCTTTAATTGTAGTTAAATTTAGCGTAGATTTAACAGAGCAGGTGCGATATGAAATATTTGAATCAAAATTCTGGAATATCTTATCATACTGGCTTAAATTTAGACTCTTTTCCTTCAATTATTTCATTTCGCATCTGCTCTGTCGAATCTACGCTAAATTTAACTACAATTAAAAGGCATACTAAATCACCCGTGTTCATCTTGAATACTTTTGTCTCATACAGTGGCGCTCCCGCATATCCATTGTGTGGTCATTATACCAGCGTTGAGTATTTGTTATACGACTTCAATTTTATAACCTTTTCGGTGACTGCACCGCTGCGGGATCTATTTCTTTTCACAAGTTATCTTAGGTGGCTTTGTTAGTAGAAATAAAAAACCTATTCCTTTAGTCATCTTTCGCGTAGCATCGCATAAACGTAGCTTAAATAGTGATCTAATTTAGACTTCTATTTTTGAAGCTGAAATTGCCGCCGAGTTCCCCTACTAAAAATATGATACCACCTACCTAATGTGTAGCAACATCAATATATGCTATAAATGTAGACAGCCTCTTTAACCCCTACGCACTTTGTAATAATCCTGCTTATTAAGAGAAGCGTCAGCCGTGATCTTCCACTTTTGCCTCAAAGGATATTCCACTTAAGTGTGGAAATACTGAAATGTTATAATGTCTATATATGAAGCAAAATAGTGAAAGCTAGTTTCCAGTGCTACTGTTGAAAACTGTCTGTCTGAGTATTTACTCAATTTACTTTAACCAACTTCTGACCCCCCTTCACACCTAGTGCTTACGTTTTTCAGTTTAAATCCAGATTCCGGCGTCAGAACTTAATCAGCTTACCGAAAACTGATAAATACAAAGATTCCCTTTAATAATCAAGCCTTTTCAATTAACAAATAAGGTTTTTCAGGGGTTCTGATTTGAAGGTTTCCCCCTGTAGCCTGTGTCTACATTTACTGCTAAATGCTCGCGATGCGAACTTGGAAAGACCACGCAAAGAAGTAAAGGAACTTATACTGCTTTAATGAAAATAACTCAGCCATAGTCCCCTTTTCAGTAGCGCGAAAAAAAGACTTCACAAACTTAGAATTCTTTCGATGATATTTTCCCTTCAAGGGCGTTTATTGTGATATTCGACAAGGTTGAGGCTGATTTTCTGGGTGTTGTGTACATTGTGTTACTTGGCGTGATTTATACTCTAATTTTATTACCCTTTTGTCTAAAAGATACAAACAATGCAAAAGACGAGTCGAAGCCTGGAAAATCAGCTCAAAATTTGGATGCCGTCACCAAAACTGAGTCAGCTGAACAGCTTCATCCCCTTGGCAAAACATTCACAGCGCACGAAGGTGATCCCCACTCTGTCACTAAGACTACTCTCAGAGTCGCCGTGGAGAGGGATGGGCGCAATCAAAAATCTTCGGAAGTCTATCCCCGTGACACAGAGACTTACTTCGATCAGACTCTTATCGAAACCGAAGACTTTTCTGCCCTGAATGATGATTCTCACAGGCCTGAAACAAATATACCAGCATCGGGTGGTAACCAGCCGAACACAAACGTATCAAATCGCGCGGTGGAGGAAACAAAAGGCCAAAGTGAACCTCGAGAGGTTCTCAAACCGGTTAGGGTCCTGGGCTTCAACCAAACCGTGCCTGTGATTAACTTAAGCACGGGAAGAAATATCAAACTTTTTTACACTTCAGCACACCTGGGTGTTATATATGATGTGGGGAAAAATGAACAAGTCATAATGCGTGGTCACGTAAGTCACTTCCTGTTTCAATATTGCCATAAGCTTATTTTTGCAGTCAAGGAATGTTTGCATTATATATAGCGTTCTGACCACAGTTCGAGAAAATTAACGATTTTGCTAACTGATCAAATTTCACATTTTTGATATGTTCTGCAATAGGTATGCTGTTGCTTTCGAATACGTAATTAGCTGCTACGTTCTTTGCTACGGAATATGACGCTACAGTGGCTGTATGACACCGTGTATGGCACCGTGAGAATTGAGGCTGAAGGGTGATGAATGTTATCAAGGTCATACAGAATTACAAGGTGGCCGAATGATTGCTGGTTATTGAAGGTGCACTTGAGCTGAAGCTGTATTTCCGTGTTTATTTTCATAACTTCGATTCGCAGCACCATAAACCACTGCAGTTTTAGATAAACAAAGGGTTGAGGTTCTTTCAGCAAAGCAGTGGTTTAATTTCACCGAAAAGTAACATTTTTGTAAGCCATACTCTAAATATAAGTTCGACAGTGAGCCCTCGTACCAGCCAGTAAATGCAAACTGTGGCCTATAATTGATGGCAATCCAATTGCCTTTGCAATTGGTCTACTTTCGCATAGTGACGACACACGACTAGAACATTGACATAAACAAATTCAATAAAACATGATGGACTTTCCTTAACGAAGAGCATGGGTAACGTTAAAAGCATGTTTACCGATCTAATTACTGCATAGAATATTCTGTCCTTTTGTCTTGCTGCAATGATATTTCTGGTTAAATAACATTCATTAAATGGTTAAATCCCAGCCCCAAGTTTAAATAAGTCGGTACTCAAACCCGAACTATTTGTTCATTGAACTTTCACCATATCGTTGCGCCTTTAAGCGGCGGAATTAATAACCTAATGCGCATTCAGCTGCTCGTGTGTACTTCTAATACCGGTGTTGAATCAAGCGGATGAACAGAAATTGAATACTCCTAGTAATTCTATTTCAGCCGTGAATTTGCTTCATCGGATAGCGAGTACACAGAATGAATACAAAATGCTAAAAACTTTTTCCTCTGCCTAGGTAAACACCATTCAAAGCACCTGCTGCAGTAAGGACAAGCGCTGGTTAGTTACTGGTGACGCCGGCCCGGACAGCGCCGTCATCTTGTGGGATGCGAAGACGGTGCAACCCGTGCGGACCATGCTTGATACCTACCC